TCCGATAAGATAAATCGAGCAAGAGACGTGATGACAAGGGACCGGAATCAAGGCAAGGGTCTCATCAAGCCAGGGTCTGGGAGCAGAACGCCCACCCTCGAGAATATCGGGGCCATGATCCGGGATCGGTCCAAATCCCAAAAGACTCTGGAGAACGTTGTCAAACAACCAAGACGATTAGTAGAAGGCCGTGATATCCGTGACTGCCGGATATCTTGGCGCGGATCTCGGTACGTACCGGCGGAAATTTGATGATTAGTATGATTTTTACCTTTTATGAAATTGTACCTAGGGTAGGACTCCTCTACTATATGAAAGGGGGGTGGGGGGTCTGATTTTTCATTAACAAGGTTGTTACACGCATATCAAGGCAATATATTATTATTTTTTCCTGTTATTCAAAGTTCTTACATTTGTTAATCAGCGCTTCATTATTATAAGTTTGGGATCGAAGATGGGTATTTCATTAAGGTTGTCGTCAAGTCCAGAATCATCTTCCCTTTTAAGTGGTTTGATAATTTATTACATCTTTTACCTGTTTAATCTAGCGATATTTACCGTTTGTATTGAGTTAATCCACGTATTATTAAAACCACTTGCAAATTTAATTGTTATCCGTTTTTTAGGTAAACACTAACTACCGACCAATACAGGCCATAACCACCAGCCACAACCAATTCTACCAGCCACTACTGTAGACATGTAGTTTTTAATCTCACCCTTGTTTCTACATTATTTTAAGGTAAAAGTATTTCTTTAGTTTTCGTTTTAATATTTTAGTTTTTGAATATATTTAGTGAACTTAGAAAAATCGAAGAATACCACAGAAAATAGTTGCACGTCAAAGTCTACTTAATTAATGATTTCACTATTTTTTGAATTTTATTTTGAAAAGAAATAGGAAAAAGAAGGAAAAAGAAAGGAATCCAATGAATTTTGGCCACCTGGAATACTCCTCCTTATTCCCTCTAACAAATTCATATGACACAATCTCACTTTGGATTTTTCCACTCACA